CTCTCTCTCTCTCTCTCTCTCTCTCTCTCTCTCTCTCTTCTCTCTCCCACACTGTCGTAATGGTAAGTTGTTTGAATGGGTGTTTTCTCCCCATGGGTGGTTGGCGGGTGCTATTGTGTGCTTTGCTCCTTCTTTTACTTTCCTATCAAACATCTATCGTCCTGATCTCTCCTTCTTTTTAAAAATGTTTATTACCCTCTTGTAACTCCTCTAATCTTCTGCTCTTATATGTTGCAAGTGCCGTAAAACTCTTACTAAAACTAAACCTCTTGAATAACGGATCGATTATATTCACCCCTTTCTTGACCTCACAAATTTTCCACGGGGGTCAGAGTTCACAGGTGGGCCCAATCTTAACGGTGTGTCAAGTTAAGTTAATAAAGACAACAATAACAACAATAATAGGCTTTACGACAGAGGGACACAGGATTAGGCCAGTGAGTCGGGCTGGGCTAGGAGTCGCTTTAGCAAAATCCGGATCATATGTTACTGCATTTCTTCGGCAATTAAATGTGTTATAAACCGCTTCGGCAAATGGGTTAGAACCACTTTGACAAACTGGTTAGAATCACTTCAACAAATGGGGGCACCCACTTCACCAAACGGGTCAGGAAAGAGAGTTTAAGAATCTGAATTCGTATAAAGTTTCATTGAGAATTATTAGGTTGTCCTGATTTTGCCCACTACGACTACGGAGTCGAGCGGGGTCGTTCGAGGCAGGGCCGGCCGCCGAGTCGGGCAGACACTCAGTCATGCGCAGGGAGACGTGCAAGTGTTACTAAATATAGACACCTAGTCGTTCGTTCGCTCTCGGTGCTCAGATTCAGACAGACAGACGTCAGTCGTGGTTTCCCCAAGAGGGGATTTTCTGGCCGCAGAAGTGAACAATTCCGTACAATCCTTGGAGCGAAACATATGACTGAAACTGTCCGACAGGAGTCATCACGTGAGACAAGCGCAGGTTCTTTATAAGCCTCCGATCTGCGCTCGCCACAATTAGTACACCGCTAGACTCGAGATAATGAACACTGCAGCAGCTTTGTACAGAGATCTCGCAGGGATAATAATAAAATATAACAGTACAGCGCAGCAGGCCTACGCATAGACCATAGAGGGTGAGTTTGAGCGAGGAATTTTCTAACTAAATATCGCAGGGTTCCTGCGTGGCTTACCAGCCACAGTTACTTTACTTACTTGTATAATGATAATAATGATAACAATAATGATAATAATCATTATTATTAATCGATGAACATAATTATTAATGTTGCTTTTATTATTGAGGTTACATTAAAAAAAGTATTATTATTATTATTATTATTATTGTTATT